ACTAGTAAAGGCTGGGTGCGGTGACTCATGCCTATAATCCCCGCACTTTGGGAAGCCCAGGCGGGAGGATCACGAAGTCAGGAGTTTGACACCAGACTGATTTTTCAACATGGTGAAACCCCGTCTCTACTACAAATACAAAAATTAGCTGAGCATGGTGGCGCATGCCTGTAATCCCAGCTACTCAGGAGGCTGAGGCAGGAGAATCGCTTGAACCTGGGAGGTGGAGGTTTCAGTGAGCTGAGATCACACCACTGCACTCCAGCCTGGGCGACAGAGTGAAACTCCGTCTCAAAAAAAAAAAAAAGATTACTAGTAAATGGTAGCTATTGTTAACTAGTTATACAAATGAAAATCTCTTTTAAAATGCTTGAAAATTCCATACATATACCTTGTTGTATAAAAATACTCAGAAGATACAAAAGCCTAATTTATGTTGATTTCTATTTAACTAGTCAGTTTGGGATTTTCTTTCCAGTACAATCAAAGAGGGTTTAGTTTTGAAACTGAAAGGTTATATCAAGTTGCAATGCTCTTAGGACAGTGGGCTTTATTTATAGTTCTACCGAATGCATGGAATTGCAAGGCAGTTACATTGATAACACATTTTAAACCCAATTTGTGAAATACTCCATGAACAGCTGAGCAGACAAATGAAAGAGTTTAATTTTTGTTCAAATGAAAACATAAATGATACTTTCCTAGCCTAGTCTATTAACTCATTCTAAAAAAGTGTCCTTGTGTTTAGCATCCAACAGGCTGTGTCAGAATCTCCTGGGATCCGCAGGTTGAAAATCTTTGCAAGTGAGAAAGTTTAATAAGGACTAGATTAACATATCTGAAAAAAATTGTAAATTGGAGTCATAGAAAGCCTTGAAAAGATGCTAAGTTTTAATTTTATTTTTACTTGAACACCAATTAAATGCAACTGAAACCAGTTTCATGAAAACATGCTTATGAAGCTACATCTGTTTTAAATGGAAGTCATATTCACTACCCGCTATTTCTCAGAAAAAAATCCCCATAGCTTATTTAAATGAATGTCATCTTAATATATTGTCTATTAAAATTCAACCACAGACAGCATATAGTTCATCTTATTCCAAACTGTTATTAATTTCCTGGTCTAAATAATAAATAAGGTTCCTTTAATTAATGGATTCTAGAATCTTAAGAACGTTAAAATCTTAAGATGACACAATGGAGTCTGTTATGTACTAGGGTTTCTTTTATGTTTTACCATTCATAAATGAAATATTTTTTATCTATCTTATAGATATTTGTTTTTTGTATTATTAAGGAACATGAAATGTATAAATATTAATCGCCTTCATTTTTGAAAGTACTTAGAGCTAGCTAATTTCACTTCAATTACATTAGCTGTTAATACTTCTCTGCCTAAGAAACACTTTCTTTGAAATTTGATTGTAAACTTTACGTCATAAAAGTCTTCATGAAATAAGCTCCTTAATAACCGCATAACTATTTTTCATGTGAAATTGTTGGAATGAAAGAAGTATCTGTGGAAAATTTTCCTTACTCTTCTAAATTTTTTGTTTTGGTTATTGATTCTAATATTATACAAACCTAAATACAGTCTTCAACTTTTTTTTTAAGGCTGAATATCCATGATACGTTGTGCCCTTAGTTTTTGAGTTGAGGCTACTAAATTCTAAAGATTATATCTCTGCATAGAAAAAGTTGATAGACATTCCTTTCATCATAGTTGTCTTTATGATTGATAATTTTTGTGTAAAATTATTATATTTAATAATTAATATAGTTCATTTAAGCTATAAAAATTGGAAACTATGGAAAATCTCTAAATTATACCATTACATTAATGTACCTCCTAAATCATTTCTTTCATTTGTGTCTCAGGCAGATTGTCTTAAATTTGTTAAGAAAATTCTGTTCTCAGCTCATCCATCAGGTTTGAAGTAGAGATTTGCAGTTCTATAGCACATAGGGAGTAATTAAAAACACAAGAGTTGGGAGGCTGAGGTGGGTGGATCATGAGGTCAGGAGATCGAGACCATCCTGGCTAACACACGCTGAAACCCCATCTCTACTAAAAATACAAAAAGAAATTTAGCAGCGCTTAGTGGCGGGTGCCTGTAGTCCCAGTTACTTGGAAGGCTCAGGCAGGAGAATGGCGTGAACTGGTGGGGCGGAGCTTTCTGTGAGCCGAGATCACATCACTGCACTCCAGCCTGGGCGACAGAGACTGCGTCTCAAACAAACAAACAAACAAACAAACAAAAACACAAGAGCTTACTAGGGAAGAAAAACGGCATCCAAAGGAGAGTAGAAAGGAGTAGTCAAGGAACAGTAAATATGTTAGGAGTGGCTGGAGGATGAGAAGAAGACTGTTAAAGGTCATTAAGGAATAATTAATAAAGAATCCCAAGGCATAATGGAATTTATTAGAGGAAGCAGTCAAGAAAGAATAAGTCATCAATAGTAACATATAAAACAAAGTCTAATAATAATAGTTATGGATACAGAAAAGTGTCCTATCAGCAATACCCAGTTCATTGGTGATTTCTGCTTCTGAAGATAGTAGGCCACCTCTCTAGAATAAAAGTTAGACTCAGTGGGTTGAGCAGGGAAGGCATTGGATGAGAGATGAACAAGCAAAAGCAGTGAGTGTAGACTATTCTAAATTATTTTTGAAGAAATTCCAGCTAAGCTATAAGAAACAAAGAAAGACTTAATAGAACGGCTATCTTTATCTTAAATATAAATTAAGTGGAAGAAAGAGAGTATAGTGAGGTAAGTTGAAGAGAGGAGAGAAAGAGGAACATTGATAAATAATTCGTTCATTCATTTATTCATTCATGCAAATATGTATTAAGAACTTGTAAATACCAGGAATAATTCCAGGTGCTAGGGATCTGGCTGTGAAATAAACAGCCAAAATCTCTGTCCCAAATTGAGGGGGACAGGCAATCGGAAAGACACGTGAGATGCCTCAGCTGCCTCCTCACATCCTTTCACCTCACTTCTGATTCCTATGAGGAATCTTTTCTTTATGCCCCAGCAGGCCAAAAAACAAGCTAGAGTCACAGCTGGGGCTGTGGGAGACTTTACCCCCTGAGAGCATGGAATGAGGAATGGAATGAATAAGTACTTTTCTTGGTACAAACCTCAGTGGACAATTTGGAGAGTCATTGTCAACTATCCTCAGATTTTTTTTCTTAGTATTGACTTCCATAATACACTTTTTAATTGATTTTTTCCACCTTCTCAATCCTCAATTCTTTACTCTTGCCCCAAACCTGCAAACAAGATTTTATCTCAGATTCTGCTTTGGGATGTATGAAGAAACTTACAAGACAAAAAAATGAATTATATGTATCTATATAAAATTTATTGATTATTAAGACATATTAATAATATATTATTAGATAATATGTGTATGCATATATATACATATATATATAACCAGTAATAAGCACTAAAAAGAAAAACTAAAGCAAGGAAATGAGATGGAAATGTGTGTGTGTGCATGTGGGTGTATGTGAAAGAGAGAGAGACGAGAGAGGAAGAGAGGGAGGAGAGATTTGAATAAACACTATATACCAAGCACATTTGTAATGTGTTTTACATGTATTAATTCATTCAGTCTTCTCACCAACCCTATAAGAGGCACCATCTAACTTTCAAATGAGAAAACTGAATTCCAAAAAGTTTACACACTTTGCCTAATACTGCATTTCTGGCCAGATTTGAATCACAATTTGAGACCTAGCAGTTTGGCTCCAGAGTCCAACTCTTCACACTTAATTTAGTAGCTTCAGTCACCTACACAGTGAAGTCTTTTAAGATCCTTCATTGCACCTAAGCATCTTTCTTATCAGACCTCTCAGAAACCCACAAACAGTCTCTGTCTTCTCATCATGTTTGTCTTGAATGAAAGATACAGCCTGCAGCACAGTTCGTTGACAGTGAACCTAAAGGATGTAAACTCATGTATTCAGTTATATAGGCTTTTGGTAGTCTGCCTACATCAAAGAACACAATTTATTTATGCAAGCCTATACACATTCATGATAAGCTCCAGATAGAACAATTAATGAAGTGCATTGGTGAGCGTTACTTCTCTAGTAATTACTCCCTAACCTGTTGATAGACATTAAAGAGATTATATTCTCTGACAAAGACCTGGGTGTAAGTCCTTGCACATGAAACCATGTTTTTCATAATAATGAAGTAATCTCATCCCACCTGAGCTCTTGTAGTCCTTGTCAGCTGGAAAGTGACCTACTCTCATCAGCTGTCATTGGTGTTGTTAGGAATGAGGCTGGCACTCTCAGCTAAGGCAACGTTCTCCAGTTGAACAGAACAATTTTCACAGAATACCAATATCAGAAAGGACCACTCTGACACCATGATGAATCAAGATAAAAGCAAAACCATTTTGTAATCACGTCCACAGACAAAAACATGAACATTGTCCAAACCACAAAAATGACCATATATACCCTATCCTGCCTATCACGAGTTATTGCTACTTCTTCACCAGTCACAGCTTTAGCCTTACTTTGTTCTTCCCTTCCAAATGATGTATGAAGACACTTAACCATAGAATTACCCCTGCTTTTTGACAACATCCAAGGTAGAACAAAACTCTACTTCCTTGAACCCTCCCTCAATCACCTAACACAAGTTCAAAACATGTTTTTTCCAACACCTTCACACTGTGCTCATTGCGCAGGCTCGTGTTTTCTCTTATATTTTAGCAAGCAATAACCCCAACTTGGTCAACTACAGGTATGTAGACTGTATGACATTGACACAATCTTATTGCCTGCTCCACATATTTAACCCTTATCTATGCAGTTTCTTTCATGTGTCTTATTTCCCAATCACATTGCTTCTTGTGGACACTGAAGTTCTCTCTCTCTGAAAACTAATAGCAGTGCCTTGAGTTAATTAACTAATAGCTGACTGTTCTAATTGACCAAACACTTCACATATTTCTTTTTCTCCTTTAGGAACCGACTACTATTTCAGCAATGGAGCTTTCCACCAAGCAGGTACTATCATTATGTATTACCATTGATATCCAATATTTTGTTAATTCTTGTGTTTCAAATAGATACATCTATTTATTTATTAAATTTCACAGATTTGTTAACAATTGTACAAAAATACAGGAGAAAACAGATATCATTCTTACAATAAGCTAGTAGATTAGAAACTGAAGATAGTTTTCATTGCCCTCATGTTTTGGATCAATCTCATCTGTGTTCTATAAACATATTTTCCAGATCATTATTTGTTATAAATTTTTACTTACAGCATATTTTGGTCATTTTAATATAATTTACTCAATACTCAATAATAATTTTCATCTTTTCTGATTATATATATGTGTGTGTGTGTGTGTGTATACACTGAAATAGCATTGTGATATTTCAGGAATAAAATAATTATAATTGATTCTTACTTTGCAAATAGAAACAAAAATGCATTTTTAGAAGCTAGTAAAATTATTCACTGGCTATATGTGTTTGGAGGACCTTGACTTCAAAGTTAATTTTACTTTTCCAGTAGTATTGTATGCTAGAGAAAACAAATTGTGCATTTAACTTTGCCTAAATATCAAAGGAAAAAAAAAAAGGTCACTGCCAAATAAGTTCTAAAACTTCATGAATTCAAAGATTAAGGGCAGCATGTTAATAGTCTTTCTATTCATATCGAATAAATGCTTTGGCAAGACACTTCAGAAAAGTCAATTGCTTCTAAATACTGTGTAATATGTGTAAACAAATATAGTTTTAATATCTAATAAATTATATTTTCTCCATAAATGTTACCTAGACTTTCTTCTGTCAGTATATCAATGGTAACTTAAAAAAAAAAAAAAAAAAAAAAAGCAGAAAACAAAAACAAAAACAAAAAAAAGTAGAAAAAGCCAGAATGAAGTAGGGTGTGCCTCACTTACTGGAGTAAAAACTTATATACACAATTGTAAAGTGAGAATCATTTGGCAAATCTTATTTCTGAACCATTTATATGTTTTATCTCTGACCATACTTTATCCCTTGAACAAGACATTAAATTACTCTGCCAGTAAAATTCAGTATGCATCCTTTCCCCACACAGACATATGAAAATAGATTGATAATCTCCAAGATATTTAGAGCAACCCAGAGAACAGATATGATTGACCTGATACTGTTATCTAACACTGCATAAGTATGTGTTCACCTGTTCTTGTAATCTAAAAATTGTTAGAGGTTGGCAAATAAATCTGGGGATTTCCAGGATGGAAGCTAGACTGGGATATTCTTTCCTGTAATGATTTTTAAAATTATTTATTTATTCTCTGCTAAGCCTCATTGTCAATCTTAATTACACTAAATCTGCATCTATTTTTGTAAACCATTTATTTCTGTTTTACATTTTTAAAGCTACTTAAAAATTACATATTAATTCAACATTTTACTGACAAAGACAAACAATCTATCAATTTAAAATACCGTGAGAGAAGAAAGTGTCTTTTTCCTTTATTTTCCATTACTGGAGGAAATGATTTGATTTCGTTCAGATGTGACTCAATTTCATTCACACTTATGGGCTTATGGGCATTTTTAAAGTGAGATAGTAGTTTCAAGAGAGACAAGTAGTGTTGCAAGTAATTTTCTGGATAAATGAACCCATCTCCTCCCATACCCCACACTTTGTTAAGGAGGATAGTGAGAAAGCCTGTGGTGATGTTCAATTGGGCAGAAAAAGCACATCAGGTTACTTACTAGTGACTGGTTTCTGCTCAATGGTGCCTAAAGGCTTACCCTATATTTCATGTGGATAGCATAATTATTTTTGCACTTCATTAATAATACTGCAAAATTATGGTAAAACGAACATGACATTGAGTTACAGTTACTTTTGGCATTTTATCGCACTTCAGGTTTTTGTTATAATAATTTCAGTTGCCATATTTTGGTTTTCTATTCTTTGCACATACTATTTCTCTGTTTTTCCCTAAAGGAACGTGACATAATTAGATATTGTTATTTAGGTAATAACACTTTTCCTACTTAAATGTCATATTCTTAAAAAAAATCTATAAATATATATTTTGTTCATGCTTCTTAGAAGTTATTGGCCAAACATAGAGATCCTTTGATTGTGGGACTAACTTGATGAGTAGCTTTCCTAAACAGTTGCAAACACAATGTACGGATTGACATGTCCATATACTGAAAGTGCTTACCTTCATTAGTGTGTAAGTTCATTTTTAAAAAAGGAGGCTGTGAAAGAAAGATGAAAGAAAGAAAGAAAAAAAGAAAGAGAAAGAAAGAAAGAAAGAAAGAAAGAAAGAAAGAAAGAAAGAAAGAAAGAAAAGAAAGAAAAAGAAAAAGAAGAAAGGGAGGGAAAGAAAGAAAAGGAGAAGGAAAGCTTAACAATACTTAATCTATTTTTCCCAAAGAATTTAACCATCATTTCCTAATTTGTCCTGGTTTATAGCAAAATTCAATACTATAATAAAAGTTGAATATAGCAAAATATTGAGCACTTAGTAATATACACTGTAATTTCATTTTTCCATGTAGTGAAATGGAATAATAATATTAATGAAGATAAATATTTCCACAATGGTCTAGATTTTATTGTATTACATTTTCCCTAATTTACTTTGCTTGTAATAAGGTATAAGTTAGTTGGTGAGATTTAAGCAGGGAACTATTTTCTATGTAAACACTCCCTATAACCTTAATATTTTCTTAGATTACCATAGGTACTTCAGTTCAGTCTGCATTCAACTTATCTGGTTACTTATACATGCAGTTTATAAATGAATGTCTTTGGAAATGCAATTTTATTTATGTTCATTGTTAGCTATTAGAAAATGTGTAGTATTCAAAAAGCATATCATTGTTCAGAGACCGACTTTTCTAAAACTTATTTTTTATTTAGAGACACTAAACTTATTTAGAGAAACTAAAATACACTTTTGATGTCTTTTCAATGTATACCATTACATGTTTCAGTATTTATTTAAGTTTTATTTAAGGCTTACTACAATGATTGAATCCTCTAGTGCAAGAAAAGAGAGCTATGGTACCAATAACAGTAAATGTGGAGAAAGTGCAAAATAATTTTATTTCATTTTGTGCTTACATAAATTTGCAGCTAATACGCTACATTGGCTCAACTTTGTTAAAGGCATTTTAAAGCTTGTACTGAAATCCTGAATAGTAGAAAAACAATTTTTTAAATCTTCCATATTCTGGTTCTTTCAATACCACCAATTTCATTGAGAATAAATGTATTGTAGAATGTTTATCTGAATGCATACTTTAAAGACCTGTTAAACATGCTCATCTTAATAAGGAAGTTAATTCTTAGAAAAAGTATATGAATAGCAGAAGATCACACAGGGCGTTAATGGGCAACGAGACCTAGAATCCGGGTACCTTCATGCTCTACCCTATGCTTCTTCCAAAACACCTCAGCTTTTGGTTTGGCAGACTGCACCAGAGTGCACTTAGTTCCTCTTTTGAAAGATGTTTTTGAAGGGTAGTTATTTAGTAGTCTTTTTAAAAGTAATCTTCCTGGAGGTAGTGCAAGAGCAAGACAGTTCTTGGGGTTGAGCCCAAAGTTTTTTCAAATGTAAGCACCAAAATTTTGCCTCTTCCCATATCATAGGAAAGGGCACATTCCATCACAGGCAATACAATAGGGTACTGAGAAGTCAGCAGCAATGATTCCTGCCTCTGGCCGATGTGGAACACATGGTAATAAAGACATTTTGGTGTATGAGTATTATAAACAGTAAAGGTAAAAAAGCAAACTTGCAAAGACAAAGCTACAAAACTGTAGCTTTAAACATTACATTGGTTGGTATATTACTGTCTTCATCTTCCCTTTGTTTTACACTTAATAAAAGACATCCGTTTCAGTCAAATATTTAGAACTTGCTCTTGCTCCATTTTAAACTGCCATCTTGTCTAGAAGGTCTTTAAAGAAATTATCAATAAAGGGACGATTTTTTAAACCCTTCATTTATCTCTGAGAAGTTATATATAAATAAACTCTTTTTTAAGAGAAAAAGAGATTTAAAAAACAAGATAATTTTTGTCACAACAGTAAATTCTTTCCACAGCAACAACTATATATTGGTTCAACAGCTGGGGTTGCCCAGCTCCCTTTACACCGGTGTGATATTTACGGGAAAGCCTGTGCCGAGTGTTGCCTTGCCCGAGACCCTTACTGTGCTTGGGATGGTTCTTCATGCTCTCGCTATTTTCCCACTGCAAAGAGGTAGGAACAATATTCAAAATAAATGAAATGTTTGCTAGTTATCCTATCTGATTCCAAGCTTGAAATAGCTTTCTTCAAATAAGTGCATCAACTCAACTTTTGCTAATGAATAAAAAGATGTGGGGGCAGAGGGAGGGGCTTGTTTTGTTTTTTTTCTCTTTTCTTCAAATAGTTAAATCAGAAAAAAAGTCACAGAGAAAGTCATGAACAGAATCTAGACTGAGCCTTGTCCCTTTAGACCAACATACTCTGTTTTCCAAACGTGTTCTTCTATTTCTATAAAGCAACATTCTGTCTCATTTTTAAACTTTAATAAGGCAATTTATGTCTCTGGATGAACAGAAAATGATCAGAGAAAGGAATTTATTTTCCTTTATAGTCTTAGGTAATACACAGGTGCCTAATTATAAAAAGTCCAGAATAATTTATTTTTACTTTAAAAAATATTACATTTTAATATGTGATATATGTAATTTTGATTAACATCCCCAAATACGTCTATTTGTTTCAAGAAAATTTAAGTATTATATTATTATAGTATCACCTTGCATTTGCAGTATTTGAACTTGAAACATAAAACCATGTAATAAAATATCTGTGCATATGCAATATATATGTATATATGTATGCATATATGTATATATGTATATACACACATAATATATGTATACACACATATACATATATATATTATTATTATTATTATTTTGAGATGGAGTCTCGCTCTGTTACCAGGCTGGAGTGCAGTGGCACGATTTCGGCTCACTGCAACTTCTGCCTTCCAGGTTCAAGCAATTCTCCTGTCTCATCCTCCCAAGTAGCTGGGACTATAGGCATGCACCACCACGCCCAGCTAATTTTTGTATTTTTAGTAGAAACAGGGTTTCACCATGTTGGCCAGGATGGTTTCGATCTCCTGACCTCGTGATCCACCTGCCTTAGCCTTTGGGAGGGATTACAGGGATTACAGTCGTGTGCCACCGTGCCCGGCATATATATACATATATATCTCTTAAATATACTCTTGATAATACTTAAAAGTATTTTTTGGACATGATTGAATAAAAGTTGCTAAGATAACTCTTCCTTCATTTGCCTTCATTTGACAAAATAGCCCTTTCAACAGCATATCCTTTACTACTCACTGAAGGATGTCTTTCTCTATCATTATTTAGCAGGGTTTAGGAAATGAGAATGGTGGACGAAATTAACATACAGTATCTCGTTAATATGAGCCCAAAGATTAACAGCATGTATATCAACCTATTGAAACATAAAATGAAAACCAGCTTTATGAAACCTCTGCATTTAGAAGCAATATAATTTGATTTATTTATTGTTTATTATAGCTATTTTATTCAAAGAAGTCATGAATGTAGATTTTTATAGCTAATGAAGTATGTCCTACAACATTTGTATCAACTTGAATATTTGGTAAAATATTTGACCAAAGAAATGGCCCTAATGCCTACTTAAATCTTCTGATTACACACTTTAGATAACATTGACTGAGTGTAGAAAAATCTACAATTTAGTCTGTTACATAATCAGTCCAATGGATTAAAACACAGTATCCTGTTAATAATATTAAATCTATAGGCAGTATTATATAATATAAGAAATAGAATTATTAAACCTTCAACATTCAGAATTGAGGTAACATGTTTGTATTACTTTTATATAAACATTCATTTTGTTGAAATTTCAAATTTAAAATAAATCTTATTGTGGAGATAATGTCTTTTGATTAAAGAAACTGTAGGTAATTTAAGGAGTAGTGATATGCAGTCTTTACAGCAGTGAAATTAAATTTTTTAAGATTAAAAGTTAATGCTTCTCAAAAACGTTTTACTCTAGGTGGCTTTTATTTTACTTAAAAATGTGGAATTCAGTCTGACGCCGTGGCTCACACCTGTAATCCCAGCACTTTGGGAGGCCGAGGCAGGCGGGTCACAATGTCAGGAGTTTGAGACCAACCTGGCCAGCATGGTGAAACCCTGTCTCTACTAAAAATACAAAAATTAGCCATATGTGGTGGCAGGTGCCTGTAATCCCAGCTATTTGGGAGGCTGAGGCAGAATAATTGCTTGAACTTGGAGGCAGAGGTTGGAGTGAACTGAGATTGCATCACTGCACACTCCAGCCTGGGCTACAGAGAAAGACTGTTTCGAAAAAAAAAAAAGTGGAATCCGTGTTTGAACTAAAATATTATTTCTTCTTCATGAGAAAGTTTATAATATTATATAATTTAGTAATAATCTATTTGAATTTTAAGCTTTTCTTAATAAGGAAAGAGATAAAAAGAAAATCATAAACACATCTATAATAAGTTAAAACCTATATGTTATTACATATTTTAAAAGTATTTATTGTATACCTACAATTCAAGATTGAAGGAATTTTCATTAGCACATTTTTGTTATGCCTTACGGATTTTACTTAATCCAATTTCATGAGTGACACTCTGTCTTTAAAAAGGATGTTTAGAAGTCTCATGATTTATATATTCTTTGTGATGGCATTTTTCAAAAGCTTAAATGGCAGTGAAAAATGCCTTCCCAAATGCTTTGTGGTTTGTGTTTCACAAGTTCTCTTGTTGGCTCAATTTTGAAATGTGCAACATCTGTTTGATTGTTTCACTAATTCTACAAATAGAAATCTATAAATACTTTAGACTTCTAAATTTATGAATACAGTAACAAATTCCATATTTGCAATTCTCAATGGACTTTGTGAGAGCTCTTTTTAGGGATGGTAACTAATTTTGCAGCAAAACAATACCCATTAAAATAGCAGCAGCAAACAGTTGGGCAAGTGTCCCCCAATCTTTTCCAGTCTGTTACACATAGCCAGTCTCCATTTTTAGCCTCTTCCTGGAACTTCACATCTTTTTTGCACCACAATGACTAGAGCCTACCTCCTCCTTCCCAGGCAACCATTAGCAAAACGTAGAGAAAGGAAACTCACGATGTGCTGCAGCTCACATGTGATCTGAGGATAGAATATAGAAGAAATTGTTTTTTATAAGCAAACTTTGCTTTTCTCTTAAATGTAAGTTCATCTATTCTCTCTTTCATTCCTCTGGCAAGAGGAAGCCTTGCCTTTAAGTTCAACATTTATTGTTGCTTTTATTCACTTCACAGGTAAATTGGTTTGCAATCATAGCTGTATGATCATAAAAGAAACGGTTTTAAAAAAGAACAGGTCAATATAACAACCAAGAAAAGAAATTTTAAAACTAGCTTAAAAATATAATTTCTAGTCTTAATATAAAATTCAGCAAAAGTCTATTTAAGGAATTATGTATAAGCATTCAGAGAAAGAGAATATTCATGTGAATTATAATTTTCAAGCTTATTTCTTCATTAATAATCAGAAAAAGTTTAATTCCTTTTATTGAAAAAAAATGGATTATTATTTCAAATGTTGTGCTTTTTCCACAGAAGTTAAGCCTTGAGTTTCTAGATATTAGATTGTTATTGATTGACATCTGGTCATGAAAAAGCCATGAATTCTCTGTTATCACTATTTTAAAGACTTTTAATACGTTGTTAGTATATTTGGATCTTGTTTCCCATTTTGATTATCTTGGAGACTGCTCTTACAGGTATAATGAACTGTGTTTAAAAAAAGTCTTTTGGTTGGATGTAGATTCATCTGTTCCTGTAAGTTCCTAGAGTCTATGATATCTATATTTTTTTAAATTTTTCTTCATTCTTATGACAAATTCCTAAAATGGAAAAATAAGGATACAATAAGACCTTTTAAATGCAATTGTTTCAGACGCACAAGACGACAAGATATAAGAAATGGAGACCCACTGACTCACTGTTCCGACTTACAACACCATGGTAAGTCACATTTTTCATCTTTCAACCTGCTAAGACCAGGCTAAAATCCTAAGTAATAATGCATATTCACGCACATGCATGCAATGTATGCATCTCTCCCAGAATACTTAAAGAAATGCAGCCGAAGAGAAATAAAATCTTACAGAAAGTAAATGCTAAAGAACACAAAACATTGGCCGGGCGCGGTGGCTCAAGCCTGTAATCCCAGCACTTTGGGAGGCTGAGACGGGCGGATCACGAGGTCAGGAGATCGAGACCAACCTGGCTAACACGGTGAAACCCTGTCTCTACTAAAAAATACAAAAAATTAGCCGGGCGTGGTGGCGGGTGCCTGTAGTCCCAGTCACTTAGGAGGCTGAGGCAGGAGAATGGCGTAAACCAGGGAGGCGGAGCTTGCAGTGAGCTGAGATCCGGCCATTGCACTCCAGCCCGGGTGACAGAGCAAGACTCCGTCTCAAAAAAAAAAAAAAAAAAAAAACACTGAATTACGTTTTATTATCATGAATTTTGTTTTATTATGATGATAAATTCAAAATTTTAGATGCTTACAAGGTTTAAAGCTCAACTTTCTTATATTAACAACAAGAAGCCATGTGCAAGTACTTCATTTTGCATATAGTAGCAACCTGAGATGAGCAGGCAATGGAAATTTTCATTAAAATATACCAAAGAAAAAAACTATAGTCTTAAAATATGCCTTACAAATGATTCTTTTCTATGCTCATGATATAAATCTAATATATCATTATTGGGCATTCTAGTCAAGCAGAAGATAATGTGGGTATCCTTACACTGAATTACTAGTTGGGTACTCCCTTACACTGGGCATTTTATACCAAATTCATTTTTTGCTTCCTAAAAGATGTCAAAGCATATTTAATGTCAAAGTTGCTTAGTAAATGCAGAAACATCAACCAACCTTCACTTAAAATGGAGTAAAATTGTAATGATGCCCCACTTTCCATAATTCAAACATTATGCCATATTATTATGGAAATAATAATGAGGTTATGCTTCCCTCTGCTGGGGAAACTTATCAATGACAATACTGCTAATGAACATAGTTAAAAATGGCTGAAATGTACAATGTAAACATTGTCACTTAACATATTCTATTAATTTTTTTATGCCATTTATTCTAAAAGTAGTTAATATTTATCAGTTACCTTTTCTTTGATTTACTAATTCTACGTGTGGAATATTCCTGTTTATGAATTTTAAGAAAACATTACCATACATAGCACCCCAGCATACATTCCAAAACTTACTTTCTAAAATTCAGATCCCCTGTGGCATAAGCTGGATGGGTTGGTATTTGATTTTTGAATGCTCACAGGATTGTTTGGGGAATCCTAATACCAGGGGACAGGTAATCACGAATGAAGCCAGTGTTTCGGAACCACTTTGCTTGCAAATTTTCTCACCAGGGACTTTCCTATCTGTGATTATCTTCACTATACATAAGAAAGATACCACAAAACTGGAGTAAATGTTATGACTGTCCCTGCATTAGTATGGTGCATTTATTGAACACTTTCCTTAATTTTTTTCAAATGGCATATTTCAATCAGATCATAAAATATTTGCTAGTCTTTCATTAATCTATTTCATGGGAAAATATTGAATTATGATCAGCACCATTCCAGCAATGTAGTATTTTGAAATATTAATTCATTACACTAAATAATCTATTTGCCTACATGTGGAGAGTTAATGATAACTACTGGAAGTAAAAGAATCAAGAGAATGTAACTGAATCAATCAGACATTAATCTCCATGTCAAAATGAAACATTATTTTGCTCATTGTATATTTCTAGGTTTATATCGATACAACATTATGAGTATTGTAGATAACAAATATTTGTTGAATGAATGATCCAAAAATTTCAAGTTATAATCTAGATACTTGTATTGTTACTTTGGTTTTTCAGTAGAGATTTGAACTAATTGCACTTATTGATTTTTGTAAAAAATACCTTATGTCATACATTAACATGTAAGGTTAATATAATGTTATTATTAACACCATTATATTCAAAAACAAAATCTCTCTTAGGAAGCATCATTATGAACTTATCAATTAGCTAATGAATATTGATTATATGCCATCATGTGTAGGACATTATGCTGTTTTGAAAATTGTTAGAGATTATATGCATATATTATCTTAATGGCACATTCATTTGTTTAGCGATCCCTTTATAGATTCAGTTTGTATTTCAAAATTATATTAATGCTAGAGTTATGAGTGTAAATATATACAGGGAAAAATGGACCAAAGGAATTTTTATGAAAAATAAGACTGTGGATACATGAATATTTTTGACTGTTCAATGACTGGGGTTTGGAGAGTTTCAGATATTAAAGATGTGTTTTGATAAAATTAGAGTGGTTAAAGACTATTAAAATTTGGCATATAGAATGGCTTAGCTACAAGAAGTAAGAAGTAAAGTGAGTGTAAATAAATTTCTCTCCTGATTCTTATGTCAGAATGCATACTGGAGAGAGAAAAGAAAGTGCTACTGTTTAATGTTACAGGGTCTTTTGGGGGAGGGTTGTGGTAAACAACTCGAGATGTTTGTGATATCTGGGAGGAAAGGGTAAACTCGCCCAACAAACCCTGCAGCCATAAAACATTCCTTTTTTGAATGCCTCTTTTTCCCTTGTCTGCTTGTTTTGATAACTGACCACACATAAACCATATACATCATAGATTACACTAAATTTCAAACATTTGGAAACTAAGGCAGGCATTCCCATTTGGCCAGGCTGAGCCTTACCGTTAGGAATCAGTGATTATTTTGGAATAGTTGATGTCAGTATTTGAAAGTAAAATGAGCAAAAATCTGGAATCCAGCCCTATTAAATCATGTATGTTGCCTTGCTAATATCAATTATCTCATTGAATAAAATATATGTGCACATGTGGAAACATGTAAAAATATGAGATATTTTCACAGAAAGCTGGTAAACAATATGAAGCCAGATTACGCACTTCAGGATGATCAGTTCCAGCTGTAATGGTGAACACATTCTGTAACACTCTATAGTTTACACATCCAGAGGTTTTAATAGAGAGACTGTATACAAAATAACTCAGAAGTAAGGTGGAAGAAATTTCACTTTAGATGACACATTTAACACTCACTTGGCACTCTGCTCCCTTATATGTGAAGTGGCCCAAGTGGTGAACTAGGCCAGGTGAAACGGAAAAATCCAGCTACACCTCCTCCTGATCCCAGGATACTCTCCTCTGTTGCTGGTGGCTGGTCACCTAGGGTAGATTTTAGTATCAAATCTTAATATACATGTGCTGGCAACTCTTGTCTTCCCACTCACACCTCAAACAGGATGCTAAAGAGAAATCTCAGGTTGTTTCCAATCTGTTCCCTTCCCTAAAATAATTGCTGTGTACAAAATTGGAGCTCATCTGACTTTGTACTCAAGAAAATGATTGATCAAGGTAATTTACCTATAAACTACTTCCTATTTTCTTTCTCACTAAGAATGGGCCATATTATGATTACATGTCCAGAAAGGAAAAACAAAATTACACCATCAGTACTAATTTTTTTAACCGTACCATCATGTTAGATTTCTGAATCTTTGAAATACTTTATGTCCTATCTTCTAGTCTAATGGTATGACTGAATTTCACTTTCTAATATTTTTGCATGCATTCATTACCTTTCTGACACCTCAAAGTAATATGTCCACAGAATTCAATCTTCTTAATTATCTCCTAAACTGTCCATCTCAATTATATCTTGGTTAGCATCAGAATCATTCCAAAATTTCATCAAATGTCTTTGGCAGTGCCATCTTTATGATCTGCAGAACTGTAAAGTTAGTATTTTGGGGCAGTGCTATTATAGTCTGTGCCCTACCCTCCTCCAGTGATGAATCTGAGCATTTAGCCCCAAGAGGAGCCTCAAGATTCGATAGATGAGCATGATGTCAGCCTTAAAAATAATCCCTACCTTTAATAAATTATCAAATTTCATCAAATCTCAGATGATATAATATAAAATATACCATTCTTTTATGTACTTTTAAGAAAAAAAAAACTGCTGAAGATGGTCAGTCTGCCAGATGATCCCAGCATCAAACTGGGGCACCAAATGACTCAAAACTAGTCTAAAGGAGAAATAAACTCTTATTCAGATGATAATAGCAAGGAAAATTGTCTGTTTCAATCATAATCATGTCTGGTTGGAAAGAGATTAAAAAATACTCCTTGAACTACAAGGTGGTATTTATGAAGACTTACTTTCTGAATTCACACAAACAGAATGGACCCAAATTTCCGACAGAGATTTTAATTTAAAGAGGTATCGTGTCAGTAGGATCCCACATGTCTGGCAGAAGTAAGAAAGAATTTCTCCTAGAAGAAAGCAACTTCAACTCAGATCAAGAACAATTGTAAGACACATTCTGATATCAGAGATATTTAAGTATAAAGAAGTATGCATCTTAGAATCAAATGCTTGCAGTATTACCTTCTATGAGTTTTGTAAACCATGTTTGAATATTTTCACTGGAGATAATCAGTCATCACGATACTTGTCTTCTGCTTAGGAAAAAAAATCTAATTATTCATATTATATGTGTGCAAGGCAAATGCACAGATAACATGAATAAGAAGAGGTCTGAAATAGCTTACGTATCATTATTCTCCACTGAAGTCTTTAAGTATGTCATCAGAGATCACCTGTTCATACACCTACAATTCAACTGTTACAAACTGAGATTTTTTTTTTAAAGTTCGTTGCATTTTTTTATTTCAAAAGTTATAAGGATCACATATTATTAAAATACAAGATGCTTTTTCCATTATTGTTTATGGAAGGTTTCCGCTTCAGCAAATGGGTGTTTTCCATCTCCCGTCATATCTCTTGGGGAAAAGTAAATGAAACATTAAAGTCTATGTTTCCTGATTTTTTAAAGTAAACGTTCCTATGATAATTTTGCTCTGGCATAGAGATTATTTGTGCTTTC